CGAAAAAGAAGCAGAAGATGCACCTGGAGAAACAGGAGGCCGGTGATCAAGCAGATTGCGCAGAGCATCTTCAAACTCAGAAGATGACATACTAGAGACCAAATCAGAAGTTTGCATAACCGGAGCTGAATCATGCGCCTCTACAGCACTAGGCTGATGAGCACGAGAATGAGACCCACGTCCTTTGACTAGAGCGCCCGCCTCTATGACCAGAGCAATCTCCTTGACCTCCTGATGAAGTCCCATGAAGCTTCTAACAAGTCTCACGGGTATGCCTCAGTTGGCGACAGTAATCACAGAACAAATTATCCTTTCTAGAAGGATGAGAAGAAGGAAGTGACAAACCAGTTCCATCCTGAGAAGGTGCAGAAAGTAATGCTGAGCGGTTTGTAGAAGTCAATGGTAACATAGCAGAATGATGACTCTCTTCATTTTGGACATAAGCAAAGGCCTTCTGAAGAGATAACATCCATGCCAATGACACGACTCCGAACCGGGTCAAACTCACATTGAGGCCTTTGCTTATGTCCAAAATGAAGAGAGTCAGCATTACCAATTGAGTCAACTATGTAAATAGGCTTGTAATCCAAAAGATGATCTAGGCATTTCCAACCATTAGTTAGAAAGGTGTAATACTGAAGAACTGTCTACTCTCCCTATATTGAGCGCTCAATAGACCGGCGCAACTCAAATTACTGAGAAAAATTTTCCTTTCGGGAATATGTAGCAGCTACTGCCTTCCAAACATTCTGGGCAGTCTGCATGGATAAATAACTTTCACCAATCTCAGGGACCATAGAATGAATGAGCCACCCCATGATCAAAGAGTTGGTAATCTCCCATTGATCATAACTAGATCAGAAATATCTGGTGCTTGAACTGTCCCATCAACATATCCCATCTTCCCCGTACTCTCTGTTATCAGAATCTTATGATTCGCGATTTGATTCACAATTTTTGTAAAATCGATACGAATTTATGGTTGAATATATTTTGGAAGTGAATTTCTAGTGAATCGCATGATTTTGAATCGCACGATTTACAATCGATTCACGATTCAATTCACTTTTTACGATTCATGCAATTTTTGAAATTATTGTGTTCGACATATTTCAATTCTTTTTTTTTCCATCTTTTAGTGAAAATGACATAATACAATTTCTAATAGCGTTTAAAATCAAAATAACCAACATATATACATGATTTGTTGTTATTTTAGTGATCATAGAGTTTTTAATAGGATCTAATTAGATTTAGTCATACCAAACATATTTTTAACCTTTCTTCTCATTTTTTTTCTCTTTAAAAAATCATAATATATATTCTAAAGATGTTTAAGATTAAAGTTACACTATGAATTATCTATTGCTATTTTATTAAATTGAATATAATTGAATATTACATGTGTGAGGTCAGTTATACCTTTTAAAATGTTTTAGTCTTTAAAATAAAATATTCTAAATAATTATTTCTTATTATTTGCTCACTATTACTTAGAAAAGTATGTATGCTTATTGCTCAAATATCAATATCGTTGTTAATTTGTGTTACTTTGGAAATTGATAATTTGTCTATTTGGTTATAATTTTTATTAAGTGTAAAAAAATATTGATGTATTATTGATTGATATATTGATACAAGATTGATTAATTACAATTCCTATACAATCTATATATAGAAGAAAATGTGGTAGTAGGTGTAGTGGAGGTGATAGTGGGTTATGTGAAGTGGAGTGTGTGGTGAAGTGGAGGTAGGTGAAGTGGAGTGTGTAGTGGAGTAGGTGAAGGTAAAGATGGGAAATTCTAACATTAAGAATGGTTGATAAGAAATATCTAAAAAGGAAAAAAGGTAAGATGTACATAGAAACTTTTGTTAACTTCGACCTATTAAACTACATGATTATCATTCAAAATAACATTTTCATTGATTTAAATCTAAATATTTTATATTTATGAGATATATTTAACATCTAAATGTGTAGATATATGTTTTTTAGGAATTTAGAAAAAGTGACCAAATCTTTACGATTCACGATTCGGTACGAAGCCATTTTGATTTACTATACGAATCTCAATTTGACAACTATGCCCCTACTCTTCAGAAAAAGTGTCAGACACTAAGACCATACAAGGTAATTCTGATCATTAAATAGAGAGGTGGTGATTTTGAAGCTAGGGTTCAGGTTCTCAAAAGTAGTAGTCATAATTGGATTGGAACTCTCCCCTTTAGATGGGTAAGAAGTAGTGGATTCACTAGCTGGGTCAGCTATGTTTATGCTACTATCTTAACCAAAAAACACAGCATTAATCACAATAATGGAAAGAGGGAATGGAATGGGTAAGCAATCTCAAACACAAACCACTATAGGAGCATAACACTTAGATTAATGGGGCCATTTACCACCCCAAAGAATAAATAAAATGATAAAAAAATGGTGAAACTTTAATCAAAATAGCAGTCTTGGGTTCAACAACAATGAAAAAAACACAGTAGTAATAAAGAGGATGAACCAAGGAGTGTTATCGGGACATATGATGTGGAGAAACACTTAGATGTTATCACAAAGAGTTTGAAACACGCAGGAGAAGGCCAGAGGGAAGTCCAAAGCACCCACTAGACCATGGAAGAAGCCTGAAGATACCCAGATGGGTGTCGGTTTGAGCTAAAAAACCCTAGGATGGGTGTCGGCTGGTTTGAAACCACCTAGAGAAGAGTTAGAAGAGCTAAACAGGGACTGAACAGCAGTTAAAGGTCTTTTGCTGGAGCCAACAGGGTCTAGAACAGGTTGGGTAGCGACGGGTGGTGGTCGGGTGGTGTATTGATGGTGGTTGGTGGCTGTGTGGGTGATGGTTTTAGGGTTTTGGCTCTGACACCATGTTTCTTTGAGAGAAAACTAAATTAGAGAATGATTAGACAATCACCCCCTTTTTTATTGATAATAGGCATAGTTGTCAAATTGAGATTCGTATCGTGAATCGAAATGGCCTCGTACCGATTCGCGAATTGAATCGAATCGTGAATCGTAAAGATTCGGTCACTTTTTCTAAACTACTTAAAAATATATATCTACACATTTAGATGTTAAATATATCTTATGAATATAAAATATTTGGACTTAAATCAACAAAAATGTTATTTTGAATGATAATCACGTAATTTAATAGGTAAGAAGTTAACAAAGATTCCTAGGTAAAATCACTATCTTACCTTTTTTTTTTTTTTTAAGATATTTTTTATTAACCATTCTTAATAAAGATAATAACCAAATAGACAAACTATTGATTTCTAAAGTAACAATAGTTAACGATATTGATATTTGGACAATAAGCATATATACTTTTCTAAGTAAGAGTGAGCAAATAATGAGAAAGAATTATTTAGGATATTTTATTTTAAAGCCTAAAATATTTTAAAAGGTATAATTGACCTCACACATGTAATGTTCAATTTAATAAAATAGTAATAGATAATTCATAGTGTAACTTTAATCTTAAACATCTTTAGAAGATATATTACAATTTTTTGAAGGGGAAAAAAATGAGAAGAAATGTTAAAAATATGTTAAGTCTGATTGGATCCTATTAAAAACTCCACGATCACTAAAATAACAACAAATCATATATATATATGTTGGTTATTTTGGTATTAAATGCTATTAGAAGTTGTATTATGTCATTTTCACTGAAAAGATGGAAAAAAATGAGTCGAAAATATATCGAACATAATAATTTCAAAAATTGCATGAATCGTAAAAAGTGAATCGAATCGTGAATCGATTGTGAATCGTGCGATTCACTAGAGATTCACTTCCAAAATAGATTCACTCATAGATTCATATCGATTTTGCAAAAATTACGTGTCGAATCGTGAATCGAATTGCGAATCGTAAGATTCTGATAACAGAGATAATAGGTAGCTTACAATGGAAACATTAGAGGCACAAATAAGGAAATAATAGCTAATAGAACAAAAAAGTACTAAGGCGCTAATTAAAGAATCAAAATATAATCTAAATAAGGAAACAAATAATAGAATGATCTTAATATATATTCTAACACAAAGTAGTGTTCGAACTTGATAAAAACGTCATAAAAGCTTCCACTTGTTACATTATGCCTCACCTGTCTGGTAATAGTCTCTTCTTTTTTAATGTTTTGGTGTGTGCAGAGTATACTGCTGCTAGGAGTTTACATGAAAAAAATTGGTGCTAAGATGTATAAATCTTCCTATGTAAATCTTTAAATCTTGAAACTTGAGGCCTCAATCACCCTTCTCAATCTAGATGAAGTTTGCAGCTTGAGGCTGAAAAATACACAAGATAATTTAGCTCACACAAGGCATCCCTTATAGATATGTATACAAATCAGTGACCTTGTAGGTTTTTCTTAGAAGGAAGAAGGATGTACCTCCAGGTGTTTTTTTTCTTGTGTGCGCGCGTGTGTGTGTGCATAAGGTCAGTTATCACAGTGTTTTAGTGTCAGTAACTGTGATAATGTAGCTGGAATCTGATAGGGTGATCACTGCACTAGGCAGTTAACTAGCAAGATGTCATGCGTGTGATTTGCTGGCTTCTGTTGCAAAGAGGCTTACATGCCCTCACCTTTTAGCTTCTTCTATTACGCAGTACCTGTTTAGGTGGAATGCTGTACATCATCTGCAGAGCTACCAGATAGACTTCAATCATAGATATTTCATTCAGATTGACGAGGAGATCAGAGATGTCTTTAACTACGAGTCATGGACCAGCTTCCACAAACCACATTGACTGAAACTCCGTAAAGTGATAAGAAAATGTGTTAAGGTTATTGTTGCTCTTAAGAAGGATGTTTGTAAAGTAACATTTTTTTTAATAAAGAAAGTGATAGACATGTAGCTGCAGGAAAAAGAGAAAAAGTAGTCCTTAATAAAATAAACATAAAAGGTTTTTGTTTTGAAGTTGGGAAAATAAAAATGAACAAGTATGAATATTTTTTCGTAAAGTAAACTGATAAGATGTAAATTCAAATTTCTTTCATATGCTCCTTAAGTTTGTTTTCCTAATATTGGTAACATATGTAGGCATCACAACATTAGTGGGAGGAGGAACAGGACCTGCTGATGGAACACGTGCAACCACTTGTACACCAGCAGCATCACATATGAAACTAATGCTACAATCCACAGATGACCTGCCTTTAAATTTTGGTTTTACAGGCAAGGTATGCTTTCTTCTTTGCAAACCAACAGTTGTGCTCCACTTTTTTGACTTGAACATGTTCAAGCATTATGCTGTTCAGGACTGGTGATTAACACTCTGAATCCTGAGCTAGCTTTCTGTGTTTGTATGCGTGTTCTTCACCTTTTTTCTCTTCGGAGAAACTGTTCATGCATACATCTGTGGCTCATGTGTTTTGTGTTGTATAACCTTTTGTCTTATTAGGGAAATGGTGCCAAACCAGAGGGGCTTCATGAAATAATTAAGGCTGGAGCAATGGGACTGAAGCTTCACGAGGACTGGGGAACTACTCCTGCTGTAATAGACAATTCTTTGACTGTTGCAGAACAATATGACGTTCAGGTACTCTATTACTGTGCGTGTGTGTTTTTTTAGAATTCTTCATGGGGAAAGAAAGGTGACTTTTATGTTAGCTCATATTTGTCATCTATCAATTCTGCAAAATTTGCAGGTTAATATCCACACTGACACCTTGAATGAATCTGGATTTGTGGAACACACAATTGCTGCATTTAAAGATAGAACCATTCATGCTTACCACAGGTACAAGCTGCAATCTCCCACCCACTCTCCCAAAAAAAGAAAAAAGAGGAAAAATTGAAGGTTCAATCATTTGAAATCTGTAGACTATTTAATAATCTTGCAGTTTGTTTGTCAAAAATGGATTGGATTCGTATCATATGAAGACTTTAACATTTAGGTACCATTGTCACAAATCTTGCTCATTCCAAAGGTGATGCACCTCTCTTCATTGAAGAGTTTCAGCTAAAAGAATTAGTGTAACTTCACCATTAAAAGAGTGAATTGTGCTAAACATACGAATTGATGACCTATAACCAAGCACCTTTCTAACTCGGATATCAAATAATGACAAAATTTATTACCAAAGTACCACTAATGTAGGGAATTTAAAATTTTCCAGTCCATTAGTGAGGGCGCATGTACTTTCTCCATTCTCGCATACAGTTTGAGGTCATGAATCCCACATGATGGCCCCTTTGTTGGTTCTTGCCTCTTGTTGCCTTTTGTTTACTGTTGCCATTGACTGTAAGCTTGGTTGTTATTTCCATAGGCTGTAGTGAAATTGTTGTATTGTCTTTGGCTGCATTTTGGCCCTTTGCTAGTGTACCCTCCTTTCCATAAATTTCTTTGGTGCTTTTACTGGATTTTGGAGCCCTTCTTTTTTCCCTTGGTAACTTGTGGTGTCATGTGTGAATTTATTTACATTACTAAACTTACAATATTCTGCTGTCAAGCCAAAATAGTTTCATGTGACATTATCTATTTCTGATTCTTTTTCTAGTTTTTTCAGTTTTTTATGTTTGTCTCCTTCTTACCCTTCTTGCCAGTGAAGGGGCAGGCGGTGGTCATGCTCCAGATATCATCAAAGTTTGTGGTGTAAAAAATGTTCTACCCTCATCAACTAATCCGACACGTCCTTTCACTTCAAATACCATAGATGAGCACCTTGACATGCTGGTATGAGAAGATAACATAAATATTGGTACGTTTCTCATAATGAATGGCTTTTCACAAATTGTAGTTGAATGTATACAGATGGTATGCCATCACCTTGATAAGGACATTCCGGAGGATGTAGCTTTTGCTGAATCACGAATACGGGCTGAAACAATTGCAGCAGAAGACATTTTGCATGATATGGGGGCAATTAGCATTATATCTTCCGATTCACAGGCTATGGGTCGTATTGGAGAGGTTACCATCTTTAATTTTCTCCCAGCTGCTTTTCTTACTTCAGGGCCTTTACATAAGTACTCTTCTTACCAGGTTGTTAACAGGACTTGGCAAACTGCTCACAAGATGAAGTTATTAAGAGGATCCATTGAATCGAGTGGATCAGACAATGACAACCTCAGGATAAAACGATATGTTGCAAAATACACTATTAATCCTGCTATAGCTAATGGGTTTTCTGAATTTGTTGGTTCAGTTGAGGTAAGCTACTTTTCACGTTGTTATCTTGCATTCAACTTAACCTCATCTGTGAAAGAACAAATAAAAACAGATATTATGTCGGAAAAAAAAAAAAGAAGATTTTTATCTGAATAGTATGTTACATACATTTGGTTGGAGTCAAATGTGGATTTAATGAAAATATCATGTGTAATAGAAATGCATCCTGTACTGATCATGTCCCCACTTACTACCAACATTGTTAAAATTCACCTACTACACACCTACCACTACCACCTACTACACACTCACCTACTTCACCTACTCTCCACCTACTCCTCACCTACTCCTCACCTACTCCATACCTACTACACTCACCTACTCTATACCTACTACACACTCACCTATTCTTATAAACAATATTGATAGAGATAAATTGTATGTATTATTGATTGATGTGTTAATTGTGTCTATTACAAATGGTGAGTGGCTCATTATATAGGAGAGGGTGAGTGTAGTAGGTGAGGAGTAGGTGAGGGTAAATTGGTGGTAGGTGTAGTAGGTGTGGTAGTAGGTGGTGGTAGGTGTAGATAAATTCTAACAGCCCCCCGCAAACTCAAGGAGGATAGAAACTAACCAACTTGAGTTTGAAGAGAGAAACAAAACAAGAAAATACATAAAAATAAAAAAGGATAGGAGACACTGTATGGTCGTGTCAGACCGTTGGTGAAGACACTGAATGGTTGTGTCATAACGGTGTAGAGGACACTGTATGGGGGTGTCATAACCATGTAGAGGACAGTTTATGGGGTCATGTCGGACCGGTGTAGAAGACAGTTTACGGGGTCATGTCGGACACGTTTGTTTTGTAGCAGACAGTTTACGGGGTCTTGCTGGACCCTTGTAGAAACTAACCGGAATCAATGTCGGGACATTTACAGAGTCTTGTCGGACCCATGTAGAAACTAACCGGAACTCTATGTCGGGACAGTTTTACAGAGTCGTGTCGGACCCATAAAGGAACTAACCGGAATCAATGTCGGGACAGTTTACAGAGTCTTGTCGGACCCTTGAAAAAGTTGCACCCTCAAAAGGTGTGCCCAATTTTGTCAAAAAGCGTGCCATCAAAAGGCGTGCCCAATTCATCAAAAGGTGTGCCGGACATGATGGCGAGGCACGTGGGCGCCTTGGCTTGCGTGCCCGGTTGTGGGCTGGTGGCAAGAGGCGCGCGATGGCCGTGGCTGCCTTGGCTATTTAACCAAGGTTGATGCTGAGGCTGAGGCAGAGAAAAGCTGCGAAAAACCTCTGAAAAAAAAACTTCGTTGTGCTGAGAGAGAGTCTGAAAAACTCTTCGTTGTGCTGAGAGAGAGAGTCTGTAACACTCTGTTGCGAGAGATATTCTGTAACACTCTGTTGCCCAGAAAATGGCCTCGTCCTCGTCTTCCCGTGGACTGCTCACCTCTTTCCCGACCTCAACGAGTCAACGAGAGAGAGAACTGGTGCGGTGGCACTGGAAACTCAACCAAGCGCCCCGGAGTTTGCTCCGTTGAACTTTCCGATGCGGTCGGTGGAGCAAAGAATGGCAGTGCAGTCGGATGTGGAGGCCAATCAGTATACTCTGAAGGCATGTGTGGAAAGCATGACGGCGGTCACAAACTTGTCGAACCGGCTGCAGAGTAGGACAAATGAGGGCAGCATTTAAACTCCCAGCTGGCTCTGCTCCAACGCATGTATAAGGATGCGCGAGCAGAGATAAGCGTGCTAAGGGCAGAAAACAAGGAGCTGAAGCGGAAGGCCACTGTGATGTTCCGATTTGGAGGGCCGCCATATGCTGCAGTGGAGGAGTATGGGGTGTGAACGTGCTGGGCGCGCGTGGAAAACACGGAGGCAGCACCGTCAAGGGCCGTCCAGGACGGAGGCAAAAAGAAGAGACCGGCGGCAGAGTAGGTCGGTGGGTGGCCGTCTGCAGAAAAGCAAACAAAGCTGTTGTTGTTGTGATTTGTTTTTTTTTGTTTTTTTTTTTTTTTTTTTTTTTTTTTTTTTTTTGTGTGTAAAATTGTGATCGGGGTTGATCCCTGAGAGGAATAAAAGAAGGTAAAGTTTAGTGTGTAAATCTTTATCACACGAATTGGTGAAAAACAGCAATGTTGTTTGGAAATTATTTTTTTATTTTTTTTTATTTTTATTTTTTTAATAAGAATAATAATAATAATAATAAGAATAAGAATAATAATATATTAAGGTAGAAAGCGTTTGGGATGAGGGAATCGGTCAGGAGAGTGCAAAAGGTAACAGAAGATAGGTTGGAAAAGTGACAAAGTAGTGGGTGAGGCTAGTGGGTGTCCTTGAGTGGGGAGAGAGAGAGTGCCTGAGGCTATCCACAGAACAAGGGTGTCCACCTCAACCAACTCCACTCATTTCCTTTTGTTTTATTTTCAAAAGCAGGTGGAGCAGTGTGCATATCAGTGTGGGTATTGTTTATTGTATTTTATTGTTATTATTATTTTATTTGTTTTTGTCAAAGCTGCAGAGAGAGTGAGAGAAGGAAAGAGAGATGAAAAAAAAAAAACATTATCCTACTCCTCCTCGCCGACCCTCTTCTTCCCTATTCTTTCCCCTCGAACACGATCCGCTCGATCTCTCGTAATTGAGACGACCACCGTCGCCGAAGCTCAAACTTCAGAGGAGGCTCGTTCGGAGTCTGTTGCTCGCCGCCTAATCCTGCTTCGTCATGCGAAGAGTTCATGGGATGATCGTTCATTGCGAGGCTTCTTGATACCTGCTTCCTTCTTTATCTTGCAAAGATCATGATCGCCCTTTGAGTAAAGCGGGACAAGCTGATGCTATTGCAGTTTCACACAAGCTCTAGCAGTTGGGTTGGATTCCTGAGCTTATTTTGTCCAGTGATGCAGTGCGAACAAAGGAAACACTTAAAACTATGCAAGAGCAAGTGAGAGGATTTTTTGGAAGCTGAGGTACATTTCATTTCGAGCTTTTATTCAATTGCAGCAATGGATGGACAGACAGCTGAGCACCTTCAACATGCCATCTGTAAATTTTCAAGGGACGAGATACTTACAGTTATGTGAGTTCTGCTGACTGTAACAGCTTGTTTGGAGTTCCATTTAATAGGTGAGGTATTTGTGTGTATTAAGGGTGCATCTTGATGGCAAATGGAAAAGAAACTCTGGGTGTGTTTTACATAGTATGTCAAATGAATTCACTGAACTTGTATAGTTTTTGTAATTAGTCTACTTAGCTGTGATTTTAAATTTTTATTTAAATTGACATTTCCATATATGGTTTCATTTTTTTCAATAGCAACTATCATCTCCATGGGACCTCTGATGACCCTTGTCATGTCTTGACAATAGATGTCTTTTCAATAACAATCTAATTTATTTAGTTTTAGAATGTACTTGTGCAGGAAGCAAGTAAGACTATACAGGTGTAGATACTTATTCTCACTTGTTTTTTCCTTTGTTTTTTCTTATCTCTGTCTTATTAGTTTTTTTTTTCTCACATAATTTATATAAGAATATATAAAAAAGTTAAAAGGAAGTGAAATTGGGGCTTTTGGGGAGTGATGAGTTGTTCTGTCAAAGAGTGTGGCGAAGTGTTTGTGGATCAATATGTGACGCTTTGGCGAATTCCGAATCAAACAGCGGGAGAGAAGGTATGTGTTTGTGATATGTGTTGAAAAACTCCCGCGGGCAGCGAAGGCAACGTTGCCGGCCGGCTGCCCGCCGGAAAGAAAGGAGTATAGGCCTAAATCTTATAGCTCTGATATCATATAAACAATATTGATAGAGATAAATTGTATGTATTATTGATTGATGTGTTAATTGTGTCTATTACAAATGGTGAGTGGCTCATTATATAGGAGAGGGTGAGTGTAGTAGGTGAGGAGTAGGTGAGGGTAAATTGGTGGTAGGTGTAGTAGGTGTGGTAGTAGGTGGTGGTAGGTGTAGGTAAATTCTAACAATTCTCTTCCCACATCCTCTCTTCTATATATAGGAATCATTGTAATATATCAAAACATCAATCAATAATACATCTATTTTTTTACATGGTATCAGAGCAGGTTTAGAACCTAGTATTTTCGCTTCCCCAGCGGGCGGCAACCTCACCTTAGCCGCCCGCCGGACCTCAACCTATTCCGCTGTCATCTCTATCACACCCATCACTAAATATATCTTATATTTTCCAACCATGGCAGCCAATCGATGAACTTCAGGTCCAGGCACATCAATGGTTGCAGTATGATACTTCCGGATTCTTTGGTTAGTACAACTGCTTCTCCTTCAGCCGGGTTGAGTTCATCCCACGCTTCAATCCATGTGACCATGGCGTCAGCCAACTTGAGGAAGTACTCATCCACCTTTCCGAGCTTTGCCTTGACTTGCTTGGAGAGCTCAATGTAACATTTCTGCACGGTGGTGCAGTCCTTTGGAAGGGCAGCACACTTGCTGCACCTATACCAAACTTTTTCATCTGAGGGGGTAGTTGCAACGAGTGGTGGTTGACTCTACACCATCACTCCATTTAAACACCTCTCAACACAGTCTCTCCTCCAACTGAATTGTAGAGAGAGGGAGAGAAGAGAGTAGAGAGAGCAGAATTCATGAAACCGAACCAGAGAAGAAAAATGGCCTGGCGCTAGTGTGCGCTGCAGTCTTTCCCTCTTTCTCTCTCTTGTTTGGAGACGGTGAAGCAGAGCACATGGGTTTTGTCCCCCTCTTTTCCTTTATTTATTTTATTTGGAGTTGTATAATGCTCAAGTAATGAGTACCAGACAAAGCTGGTATCAACTACACAGACAATTCTTTGACTGTTGCAGAACAATATGACGTTCAGGTACTCTATTACTGTGCGTGTGTGTTTTTTTAGAATTCTTCATGGGGAAAGAAAGGTGACTTTTATGTTAGCTCATATTTGTCATCTATCAATTCTGCAAAATTTGCAGGTTAATATCCACACTGACACCTTGAATGAATCTGGATTTGTGGAACACACAATTGCTGCATTTAAAGATAGAACCATTCATGCTTACCACAGGTACAAGCTGCAATCTCCCACCCACTCTCCCAAAAAAAGAAAAAAGAGGAAAAATTGAAGGTTCAATCATTTGAAATCTGTAGACTATTTAATAATCTTGCAGTTTGTTTGTCAAAAATGGATTGGATTCGTATCATATGAAGACTTTAACATTTAGGTACCATTGTCACAAATCTTGCTCATTCCAAAGGTGATGCACCTCTCTTCATTGAAGAGTTTCAGCTAAAAGAATTAGTGTAACTTCACCATTAAAAGAGTGAATTGTGCTAAACATACGAATTGATGACCTATAACCAAGCACCTTTCTAACTCGGATATCAAATAATGACAAAATTTATTACCAAAGTACCACTAATGTAGGGAATTTAAAATTTTCCAGTCCATTAGTGAGGGCGCATGTACTTTCTCCATTCTCGCATACAGTTTGAGGTCATGAATCCCACATGATGGCCCCTTTGTTGGTTCTTGCCTCTTGTTGCCTTTTGTTTACTGTTGCCATTGACTGTAAGCTTGGTTGTTATTTCCATAGGCTGTAGTGAAATTGTTGTATTGTCTTTGGCTGCATTTTGGCCCTTTGCTAGTGTACCCTCCTTTCCATAAATTTCTTTGGTGCTTTTACTGGATTTTGGAGCCCTTCTTTTTTCCCTTGGTAACTTGTGGTGTCATGTGTGAATTTATTTACATTACTAAACTTACAATATTCTGCTGTCAAGCCAAAATAGTTTCATGTGACATTATCTATTTCTGATTCTTTTTCTAGTTTTTTCAGTTTTTTATGTTTGTCTCCTTCTTACCCTTCTTGCCAGTGAAGGGGCAGGCGGTGGTCATGCTCCAGATATCATCAAAGTTTGTGGTGTAAAAAATGTTCTACCCTCATCAACTAATCCGACACGTCCTTTCACTTCAAATACCATAGATGAGCACCTTGACATGCTGGTATGAGAAGATAACATAAATATTGGTACGTTTCTCATAATGAATGGCTTTTCACAAATTGTAGTTGAATGTATACAGATGGTATGCCATCACCTTGATAAGGACATTCCGGAGGATGTAGCTTTTGTTGAATCACGAATACGGGCTGAAACAATTGCAGCAGAAGACATTTTGCATGATATGGGGGCAATTAGCATTATATCTTCCGATTCACAGGCTGTGGGTCGTATTGGAGAGGTTACCATCTTTAATTTTCTCCCAGCTGCTTTTCTTACTTCAGGGCCTTTACATAAGTACTCTTCTTACCAGGTTGTTAGCAGGACTTGGCAAACTGCTCACAAGATGAAGTTATTAAGAGGATCCATTGAATCGAGTGGATCAGACAATGACAACCTTAGGATAAAACGATATGTTGCAAAATACACTATAAATCCCGCTATAGCTAATGGGTTTTCTGAATTTGTTGGTTCAGTTGAGGTAAGCTACTTTTCACGTTGTTATCTTGCATTCAACTTAACCTCATCTGTGGAAGAACAAATAGAAACAGATATTATGTCGGAAAAAAAAAGAAGATTTTTATCTTAATAGTATGTTACATACATTTGGTTGGAGTCAAATGTGGATTTAATGAAAATATCAAGTGTAATAGAAATGCATCCTGTTCTGATCATGTCCCCACTTACTACTAACATCTTTGCAGATTTGTGAAACTATGAACTATCTGAAGGAATTAAGTTGCTATATAATAATTTCAATCATCAAATGTTTTTAATATTTGATTTTGGAGCATTTGTAGGTGTGACTTTAAATGGTGGTCATTGACACGTGACTTGATAATTATCCTAGAAATCTGAAAAACTTGCTCAAAATATTAAATGTTTTTTCTCCTTAAATTTTTTGTTAGCGTGAAATTTGATAAGTTGGTATGAGTACATAAAAAAGACATAAACATGCACATGGTCACATACAAGAGGAGCTGAATTCTAATATGAAAAAATAGTGCTCATCAAGTTGTTCCAACTTCCATGTGATGTACTGCTTTGCAACAATAATGCCCTTTGTCACATACTAACAATCTTAAATTGGAAAGCCTACCCACTTCTTGGATTTCTGCCCATACTTTTATAGGAATAGGAACTATTGGAGCAAGGTAAATTTATAATTACATATTTAAATATATTTATATTTTTTTGCAGGTTTTTACTTCTAAATATTTTTTTGAAGAAGAGCTTAAGGGTGTTTGGAGTATAGAATTAATATAATTATTTTATGACGGTTCTGTTGGACAATATACTGTTGGACTTGCTGATTCTACTTTAGATAGCTAATTAATTTCTGATTATCAGTAATAAAAATTTTAATTTTTGTCATGAATTTGCTGCAGGCAGGGAAGTTAGCTGATCTTGTTATTTGGAAACCATCTTTCTTTGGGGCAAAACCTGAAATGGTGATCAAAGGTGGCACGATTGCATGGGCTAACATGGGTGATCCAAATGCGAGCATCCCAACTCCGGAACCGGTAAAAAATGATATTATTATCTATACGAGTGTTCTTGCAGACTGAGTGACAGGCTTTGTTGCTGATAATGTCCAACATTCTTTGTTTGTTATATTATCATGTTGTCTGTAGAAAATTTGCCAGTGAAAATTAAGGATCTTAAGCTGGTTTCACTTCGTTGGAATCTCTCCATGCCTCTGATTATGTAGCATGTACTTTAGGCAGTTTACATGGGCTCTTCTATTTCCCCTACAGAACCTGTGTGAGGGATGTGCGATATGTGTGCCAATGTCCACTGGATATGATGAGGCTAAGGGTGTGCGATATGTGTCCAACACCTGCACCCACTTTAGACTAGTGGATCTTCTAATTTTATATGATATTTGAAGAAACAAGAAACTCACATTTACTAGTAAATAAAATTTTCTTACTTTTCACAAGGCTAGGCGATAGAAATTCTATTTAATTTCAAGTACGTTTCTACATAATTTACATCATATTATCTAAGAATATTATAAAATAAGCAATATATACTAGTGTGTCGGATATGTTTGTATTCCTATCCAACTTTTGGGTACATAATCCCTGTATCTTAAGATTTAGATTTAGCTTAGCACTCGTGATGGAAAATGGCAGCAGCCAATTAAAGTCTATAAAAGGCGTGGATCCAACGGTTCTAAGGCCCAAGCCTTAATTTGGCATATGCTAGATGATGTGGGGCCTACTTGGGAGATTAACTAGACTTGGGATTTATTTAAAAGTGTCTTTTGAGTTTCTCAAGTCAAATGTCTTTAAATTTCTAGTCAAGGTCTTTGGGTTATTTAGTTGGTCAAAGAGTCTTCTTGAGTCTTTCACATGATTAATGCATTAAAGAGTCCTAGGGAGTCTAAGTTAGTCATGTCATTTAATTTGGAAAGTTTTAGAATCAAGATGAAGTGAGTATAAATTATATTGTAAGTCTTGTGGCAAATTATGAATGGAATGAATGAAAATTAAGCTTATGCTTCTATGGTTGTGCTGATGCAATCTTTCTTTAGTGTGATGCTAAAGAGCCCATTGGTGTGATGCCTTGGGTTTTCTAGGTGTGATATCTAGATCTATCCTTCTTTAACCCTTCCTCTGCTTCCTACAAATCACTGTTCATATTTACTGTTCACAACCCCCAAAACAGCCCTATTATTTGTGTTTTTGCTCATACTTAGGCCTATTTCGAATCTGTCCTGCATCAACTTGGTATCAGAGCGAGAGTAGCATCATGTCTACACGATCCGGAAAGCCATTTAGGGGAAGATTAACTGATTACCAGCGTGACGAGATTGTGCTAAAGCTTGTGGAGCAGATAGATAATTTTAGTCTGCGCATCAATACTTTGGAAGGCCAAACAACTCAACCTAACGATGATGAACAAGGCGAAAACTCTGGGAATAACAATACTAATGAAAATGGCGAAAATCAAGGCCAGCGCACGGAAGAGCAGTGTGTAGATCCGCTACGAAGGCAGCAATTAAGGGCTGGCCAAAATCAGGGAAGGCAGCAAAATTCCATGTCTGATTGGGCCCATGATTTATTGCAAAGGAACCAATATGAGACCTATGATTCAGCCAAAGATATCACTAAGAAGATTAAAATGGAGGTTCCAGATTTTGAAGGTAAGGTCAATCCTACTTTGTTTCATGATTGGCTTGCTTCTATGGAAGAGTACTTTGACTGGTACGATATGGCTGACGATCGGCGAGTGAGATTTGCTAAAATGAAGCTTGTTGGATTAGCAAAAATCTGGTGGATGGGTGTGGAAGGTGATATTCGAAGGTTGGGGCAGCCACCAATTAGTACTTGGCAGGAGATGAAAGCCAAGTTGAAGGAGAAATACATGCCATCAAATTACCATGAGAAGTTGTGTGAACAACTGATTGAATTAAAGCAAAGCCGCATGACAGTGGCTGAATATATGCAGAAATTTGATGAGCTAAAGATGAGGAGTCAAATTACGGAAGATTCAAGTCAAGCTCTTGCTCGGTTTAAGGCTGGCTTGAGGCCCGACATAAGAAGGGAGTTGCTTCGCCAACCCTTGTACAGTCTCGAACATGCCTTCCAAGTTGCTTTGGATATGGAGGAGTATTTGAACCACCCAATTTCTAAAAAGTGTGTCTCAAGTTGGAGAAACCATAACCAAGGGGTACAATGATGCAAATCGTTTCTGGTCCAATGTTTCAAAGCAAACTTCTGTCAATACGGCTGACCCAAAAGGGAAGAATTATGCAGCTAACAAAGGAAACATGAAGGAAACCAAGTGCTTTAAGTGTGGTGAATCTGGTCACATGGCATTTCAATGTCCAAAGAGGAGTTTACATATGGCAGTGGAGCAAGAAGCTGAATTCGATCAACAAAACAATGATGATAATGATGATTCCTTTGATGTTGGGGTACTAAATACAGATGACTTAGAAGATGAAGAGGTGGACAATTCTCTGATTTCTGTTGTCAGGCGTATCCTTGCAGCGCCAAAAACTGAAAAGGAAGACTGGAGGCGTACTTCTATTTTTCAAATGCTGGTTCGCTGTGGAAACCAAGCTAGGAAGCTTATCATTGATGGTGGTAGTTCCATGAATGTTGTATCTGCAACCACGGTGGAGCGTCTTAAGCTTCCTGTTCAACCACATCCCCATCCATATAAGGTAGCTTGGATCGATAACACGTCCATTCCGGTAACTCAGCGCTGCCTAGTCTCTTTTTCGTATGGTTTTTATAATGATTCTATCTGGTGTGATGTAATTCCCATGAATGTCACACATATCCTTCTTGGAAGACCATGGCTTTATGATAGAGATGTGCAGCATTCTGGAAAAGAGAACACATATGCTTTCTCATTCAAGAACAAGGAGATTGTTTTGAAGCCAATGACTACAGCTGAAATGGGAAAATTCAAGGAAAAGAAGCCAAGGGATGTCACTGAAAATAAGCCAAAATCTCTCCATATTCTCACCAAGAAGTGTTTTCAAGCTGAGAGTATGGAACTGGGAGTTATATATGCCGTGGTGGTGAAAGAAGTGTCAGATTTAGCTGCTGAATCTGTCTCTAAATTGCCGACAGAAGTAGCCAAGTTGCTGTCCCATTTTTCTGATGTTGCCCCCAAAGAACTCCCAGATGAATTACCTCCCATGCGTAATGTCCAGCACGCAATAGATCTCATTCCTGGATCACAATTGCCTAATCTTCCAGCCTATCGCATGAATCCAAGGGAGCACACAAAGCTTAAAAGGCAGGTAGATGAGCTACTATCTAAGGGGTTCATTCGTGAAAGTTTAAGTCCCTGTGCTGTTCCAGCTTTGCTTACACCCAAGAAGGATGGTAGTTGGCGCATGTGCATAGATAGTCGTGCTATAAACAAGATTACAATCAAATATCGATTCCCTATCCCGAGGCTTGATGATATGTTGGACATGTTGGCTGGGTCTTGTCTATTCTCAAAGATTGATCTGAAAAGTGGCTACCATCAGTTATGTATAAGGCCAGGAGATGAATGGAAGACAGCTTTCAAGACCAAGGATGGCCTCTACGAGTGGCTAGTCATGCCATTTGGTCTAACAAATGCCCCAAGTACATTCATGCGCTTTATGACACAGGTATTACAGCCTTTCATTGGTCACTTCCTGGTTGTTTATTTTGACGATATTCTAATCTATATCAAGACCAAGGAGGAACATATCTTTCATCTTCAACAAGTTTTGAGGGTCTTCCGTCAAGAGAAGCTCTACATTAACTTAAAGAAGTGTTCTTTCATGAGTCCAATGGTTGTATTTTTGGGTTTCATTGTGTCGTCTAAAGGAGTGGAAGCCGATCCAAGTAAAGTGAAAGCTATCCTAGAGTGGCCAATTCCAACCTCCTTGCATGAAGTTCGCAGCTTTCATGGGCTGGCGACTTTTTATCGTCGGTTTATCAAGAATTTCAGCACGGTAATGGCACCTATCACTAACTGTATGAAAGGGGGACAGTTTGTTTGGACAAAGGCAGCAGCAAAAGCTTTTGAAGACATAAAGAAGATGATGTCTGAGTTTCCTGTTCTACACCTTCCTGACTTCTCAAAGGTATTTGAGTTGGCGTGCGATGCTTCCAATGTTGGGATTGGGGGTGTGCTGAGTCAAGAAGGGCACCCAGTTGCCTATTTCAGCGAAAAACTCAATGAAACCAAGCAAAAGTATTCCACGTATGACAAGGAATTTTATGCAGCGATTCAAGCTCTTCGCCATTGGCAACACTATCTTCTTTATAAGGAGTTTGTTTTGTTTTCCGACCATGAAGCACTCAAGTACATCAACTGTCAAAAGAAGCTGAATCATCGACATGGTAAATGGGTTTCATTTCTGCAGGAGTATTCTTTTGTTATCAAACATAAAGCTGGCTCTGAGAACAAAGTTGCTGATGCTCTTAGCCGAGTGGTGTATGTTCTCTCTTCCATGACTCTACAGGTGGTGGGTTTTGACTTGCTCAAGAGAGATTATCCTTCTTGTAAGGATTTTAGCTCTATACATGCTCAGTTGCTGGCTGGACAGCAGGGAGGATATGGTGAGTTTTCTTTGCATGATGGCTTCCTCTTCAAGGGAACTCGTCTCTGCTTACCCAACACATCAATTCGTGAAGATATGATTTGGGAATTGCATTCCGGAGGAGTAGCAGGTCATTTTGGAAGAGATAAGACAATTGCAATGGCCGAGGATCGCTTTTATTGGCCAAAGCTGAAGCGAGATGTGGGCAAGGTTGTTTCACGATGCCGTACTTGCCAACTTTCGAAGGGAAGAAAGAAGAATACAGGTTTATACACTCCGTTACCTGTGGCCCACGAACCTTGGCAAGATTTAAGTATGGACTGTGTCCTTGGATTACCAAAAACCCTTCGAAAGCACGATTCTATCCTTGTGGTTGTGGATCGCTTCTCCAAAATGGCACACTTTATTCCTTGTTCAAAGACATTGGATGCAGTCCACATAGCTAAGCTCTTCTTTCAAGAAGTTGTCAAACTTCATGGACTGCCAATGACCATTGTCTCTGACCGTGATTCAAAATTCATGAGCTACTTTTGGTGAACACTATGGAAGTTGCTGAATACAAAGCTGAAATTTTCTTCGGCTTTTCATCCCCAAACTGATGGTCAAACGGAGGTTGTTAATTGCAATTTGGGTAATCTACTTCGCTGCCTTGTTAGTGATCATGTTGGCAGCTGGGATCAGGTACTTCCTATGGCAGAATTTGCATACAACAGCTCTATGAACAGATCTACAGGTCGCAGCCCTTTCGAAATTGTCACAGGTTTGCTTCCAAGGAAACCAATCAACTTGGTTTCCCTATTTATTCAGGCTCGCCCAAGTGCTGAAGCTGAAGCTTTTAGTCAACATATCCGTGATATCCATGATGAAGTGCGACGAAAGATTGCCATCAGCAATGAGGGGTACAAACAACATGCTGATTTGCGGCGGAGGTTTGCTGAATTTGATGAGGGCGACATGGTCATGGTTCGAATCAAACCCGAACGGTATCCTAAAGGGGTATATAAGAAACTTCATTCGAAGAGTGCTGGACCATTTAAAGTTCTCAAGAAGATCAGTTCAAATGCTTATGTGCTCGAATTACCTGATGACATGAGCATAAGTAATGTGTTCAATATTGAGGATCTCACTCGATATTCTGGGCATGCTAAGAGCAGTAACTGGGCTGACCCTGTGGCATCTCTCCCAGCACCCAAAATTTTTCAAGATGAAATCGAAGACGTGGTTGATCATCAAATTGTCTCAACTCAACATGGACGTTATCAAAAGTATCTCATTAAGTGGAAGGAACGTTCACTGTCAAATTGCACTTGGATTACTGATGAGGAGTTTTGGCGCCTCAACCCTGACCTTTATGAAGAGTTCCATGCTTTTAACTCGACGGGGTCGAGTTCTTTCAAGCCGGGCAGAGTTGATGGAAAATGGCAGCAGCCAATTAAAGTCTATAAAAGGCGTGGATCCAACGGTTCTAAGGCCCAAGCCTTAATTTGGCATATGCTAGATGATGTGGGGCCTACTTGGGAGATTAACTAGACTTGGGATTTATTTAAAAGTGTCTTTTGAGTTTCTCAAGTCAAATGTCTTTAAATTTCTAGTCAAGGTCTTTGGGTTATTTAGTTGGTCAAATAGTCTTCTTGAGTCTTTCATATGATTAATGCATTAAAGAGTCCTAGGGAGTCTAAGTTAGTCATGTCATTTAATTTGGAAAGTTTTAGAATCAAGATGAAGTGAGTATAAATTATATTGTAAGTCTTGTGGCAAATTATGAATGGAATGAATGAAAATTAAGCTTCTACTTCTATGATTGTGCTGATGCAATCTTTCTTTAGTGTGATGCTAAAGAACCCATTGGTGTGATGCCTTGGGTTTTCTAGGTGTGATATCTAGATCTATCCTTCTTTAACCCTTCCTCTACTTCCCACAAATCACTGTTCACGTCTACTGTTCATATTTACTGTTCACAACCCCAAAAACAGCCCTATTATTTGTGTTTTTGCTCATATTTAGGCCTATTTCGAATCTGTCCTGCATCAACTTGTGTCCGATACTTGTACCTGAGTCTATATAACATGGATTTCAGGTGCTCATCAGTGTAAGTTCAAATTCCCAGCAGTTATGCTCATCTGCCTGCCCAACTAGCAGGATGTAGACCTCATAAGCTCTCACAATTATTATTAAAAACACAAAATCTGATATTTGTCCAAAAAGAGTTAAAGAAATTTTATAGTTGAATTATTGGTTTGACAATCTATTCAGCGGCTTTTCATCAGGCAGCCAAGAAGAATTTTTTTTTATGAAAGTCCAATTTTTTATTGGAATGCATGTTTTTGCAGGTGATAATGAGGCCGATGTTTGGAGCATTTGGCAAGGCTGGAAGTTCTAACTCCATTGCTTTTGTCAGTAAGGTGTGGACATCTCTCTCTCTCTCTCTCTCAATGTGCTTGTAGCCTTGTAGAATTCATCGATCAACCTTTTTCCGAACAGGTGGCCATAGAGAATGAGATAAAAGCCCTGTATGGACTCAACAAGAGGGTGGAAGCTGTAGGAAATGTGAGGAAGCTCACCAAACTTGACATGAAGCTTAATGATGCCCTCCCAAACATCAAGGTAGATCCAGAGACGTACACAGTGACAGCAGATGATGTGGTTCTTACCTGCACTGCAGCTACCACGGTTCCTCTTTCTCGAAACTACTTCCTCTTTTAGGCATCATGGATAATGGCTCTGATATTTCACTGTGTTAGGTAACTGCTGAAATGAACTGTAATAAATGAAAAATATTTCTCATTCCAAATTTAATAAACAAAAATATCAAATTGTTTTCTGATTGCTGCCTAGATGATTTGGTTGCATCTTACATTCTGGGGTCCAATAAGTAAATGAGTCCATCATCAGATATCATTTTGTGAAGATAATAAAAATTTGTAGTTTTGTTAAATATTTTGTGTTCCCTACAGTTAATAGTGCTTGAACATGAGTCAATTACTTGTTATGGAAACCACGCTTGTATGATTTATTATTAAATTGATATTTGGTGCAATGTATTTAGGAACAATTCAATGTATACCAGTTAGGTCAGTTGAATTTTTTTGGTGTTGACAGTAATGATAATGGTGATAACAAATACTGTAGTACCTTATGGAATTCCTTCATATAAGTGTATATACTCATTTTGATTATCCAATGTAGGAGTCTACAACAAAGTCTCATCTTGTTGTGTTAATGGCTTTAGTCTTACTTTATTGGTGTTATCTGCTAATCTATTTGATTGGATGAGGAAGAGCTAATTAGATTTGTGGCAATATTGACATGTGAATTAAAATCGACATGTATCATAATAGGGGAGGCTAAAACATATGGGGTTGCTAGTATCATTGTTAAAAAATAAGAATTAGGCTGATGTTTGATAATTGTTAAGATTTAATACATCTAATTAGGATTGACGAGACACAAAACACAAAAAAGAACAAAACAAGAATCTAAATCAAACATACAAAATCACAAAGTTTTACGTGGTTCACCTTAGAATAGGATTACATTAACCTCTTTATAGTTTTACTATGATATGAATGTATTATAATACAATATAGAGAGATGTGGCACTTTAACTCTAAATACGTAGTTGAATTTTAGGTCGAGTGGTTATTGTTCAATATTTATCAGGATTCACATTGTCCCAATGGTAAGTGCTCAAATTTGAAAATTTTCAATTATTTTTTTACTTTAGTCAATTTTAATAAAGCCAAAGAGTTTTGACTTATCATATTGAATGCTAAATGCATTAGAAGATAGCCCTAGGTCTTAATCATAATAAACCAATTTGTCCCTAGATTTTTATTTTCAAAGTTCAACTCTTAAAAAATTCAGCCCTGCCAAGTTACCATTTAAGCTATCTTTACTCGTCCCTGGAAAAAAGAAAAAAATTGGACTTCTTTTTAGTCTATATTTTTATGCTACAGAACATGGCTTGGGATGTAGGACCGGGGCGTCTTAAGTCTTAACCTAACAAAATTTATTTACATGTTCTTTTAATGAAATTGTTTTTGCTGACAATGCTTTTTTGTTTCCTATTTTGAAGCCCAATAAATTGTTGATGTTTGAAGTCGGTTAATTAGAATTATGGAGAAAATAAGGTTGCTACTTGCACGTTTAAACAAAAAAATATTATATAGTTGACAATCGTGCATTTAATGAAAACATGGTTGGTAACACACTTTTACTCGGGTTATGTTCAAACACACACTTGTTAATTTAATGAAGTATTTAAAAACTTTAGGCAAGTACAGTAAACCATAGACCTAAATATAGTCAAGTTGCATATGAACATTATTGAGTAAACAAACAACTATTCTAATCATGTTCATGTTCATACTCCCAAATCTGTCGCTAGTGGATGTTCTTTTTGTGAACACTGAGAAGTGCTGGAATTCATGGGAAGATGCATATCTTGTATCATATCATATCATATGTAGCATGAGGTCTCAGCAATAATAAAATAATTATATTCTTGAACTGAATATTCAAGAATCAAATTATAATTTATGAAAATATTAAAATTATTTGTAAATTACTTATTGAGTTTTTAAGTTTATGTAAACAACGGTTTGTGGGTCAAGACGTTACAAATGGTAATAGATTGATATTCCCAGTTTCTAAGTTTGTGATTGCGACTTATTCTGTAGAAAACTATTTATTGGCATAAAATCTTAAAAATTTGGGTTGAGGCATTACTTCGTATCCTCACTTATGTTAAACTCAGGACTGCATTTTCTACTTTCATTTTTATGTTGTTTGAAAACATTCATTTCATTTGAATCTTATAGTACTAGAATGTGAATAATTTACGTTTCATTTGTTTTGATAGAAAACGTATTTATTTGATACAGCAGAAAAATAGAACAAGTTGATTTGAACTTGAGGGATGGCATGAATGTTTTGAGTTTTGAGTTCATGCCAACTGGTGATGTAAACTGACTGAGGAAATAAATAAACATGTGAATTGAATCAGTGCTTTAATTAGGAATATTCTTAGTTTATTAGAGTGAGATTGATAATATATATTAGGTGGAAATTCCTTATATTATATAGATAGATAATATGATTCACTGTTGAATCCTAATATAATATTAAATGATTAGATTATATGAATAGACTATAAGTTATATTATGTAGATAGATAATATGGTTTGATGTCGAACCTTAATATTATATTATATTATATGGTTACGTTATATGAACACATTGATTTGTCATGAAATATGATAATAATATTTTTTCATTTGCTTATGTTTTGTTTTGGGGGAGGAAATTGAGGAAATAATTTTTCACATAGCGAGCATGTGGGAATTGAAATATAATTGTTAGCCTCGTCAACTGGTTTTTGAGAGAACATTGTTATATTATAGTATGGTTTAGCAAAGAAATAAATTAATTATGTACCATAGTCTTGGTTTTTTATTTATGTCCTTGTAAGTTGTATTGTACATGATTGGCTACAGGGCATAGGTTGACAATTTCCCACATTCCTAGCCGCCCTTTTTGGATCTCGTTCTTATAATTTAAAGCATTATTACACGAGTAATGTTAAGAACATTAAATTTTCTACTAAATAAATGATTAAATGTCTCATATAGGTGTGGAATCTGTAATTTTATAGATCCCACATTCATGTGAGACATTTAATCATTTATTTGGTAAAAAATTTAAGACCTCTAACATTTTCTTTATTACACAATTGGTTATTGTATAGTAAAGAAGATGATTGGTGTAAAAAGTCTCGTGTGCAATTAGATAGAGAAATTAGTAGTCGGAAACCAAGAATAATAATTGTCTAGTTGAAGGTTTTGAGGGGATCTCGTTAATTTTCACAATAAAATCGCGTTAGCAAAATCTTATAATTTTTCCTTATTATTACTACTATTCATATATCATATATATGTGTAAAGATAATGGTTACTTTAATATTTTACACAATTTCTTACACTTTTATAGGATTATATAAAATATCGTCTAATCTATTAAAACCGTCCAATCTGCACTGATGCATCCGTTAATTGTGGATTAAATTTTGATATATTCTGCCTTTGAAACCGTTTTGTTCCACTATAATTAATATATATATATTTTTTAGGGCGACGCACTAATAAATCCCAAATATGTATCTTATGTTCCATTTAGTCCTATCTTTTATCTTATGTTCCAATTAGTCCTAACATAATGTTATTGACAACTAAACCCGCCTCAATGTAATGTTTACACGTTTTAGTAAGGGTAATTAAGTAAACCCCCAACGGCGTAATGACTGGAATGCCCCAAACCTGTCTTCTGTAGAAATTTGTTTCCCTCCAAACAAACCCGTAATCGAAGAGTCGTGTATGGAAGGTTGAACAGTTCTCCGATGTTAATGGCGGCATGTCAGGCATTGCAGTTGCAGAATGTTGCTTGACGATGTGAATTCCAGGTCAACAGAATAGCATTTTGTGTTTTACCGTAATCCCCATCAAATACGAAAACCCCTTCGCTGTTGATACATCAAACCCTGCGGTGTAGTTGCTTGTGACACTTCTGTGCTTCGAAATAGCGAGCGGAAAGTCCTCGTAGGCGCCCGACAATGGTTCCAGGTACGTTAAGCGCCTCTGTACGTAAACCCTTGATTTCATTTACATTACGAAGTTGTGGTGTTATGGGTGACATATTATGGGAAGTGGTTAGTGTTGTGGGATTTGTGAAATACATGAAATTGTTAGAAATGTACGCTGAACTAGTGTTGTTTTTTGGGTGCGATTTTGAGAAATTCATGCGTCTTCTCGGAAAGTAGGTTGTCAATGTTCTTGTCCTGTTAAGTTGGGTGTTTTTTTGTGATTTTGTCGTAATGTTACTGCGTTGAATGTAAATGAAATGGTAATGCAATTTTATTATCAAGTGTGTACTGGGTTTCCCTGAATTTGGTTGGGGGGGGGGATAGGGGGGTTGAGGGGAACATGGTTTACCTATTTGTTTGTTGGCGTATACTATCTTAACATGTGGGGGGGTGTGTATTTTTTTCCTTGGTTTTTTACATCGAAGCAAAGTATAATGTTGTGCAAGAATCATGTCGGTGATGTAATCACAAATTTCAAATCGGGGCCCCTTTTTATTTTTTGTTTACGTTTTGCTGCCCAATACGTAGTCGTAATCATGTTATGTAGCGTGTTTGATGTTGTGAAAATCATATTGAAGTGGTGACGCATTTGTAATGTTCTTCAATCCATTGACATAATCTACGTAGCGTCACTTTAATTGTTGGATGTTATTGTCGGAATGCATAGCTACAGCTCGTTGCATTTGTACAAAATTTAGTACAGAACAATATAATTAGTTAGTTGGGAAGTGATAGTGGTTAGTACTGCATATAATGCATGCAGTATGTACTTGTTGCCTAGTGCGCGATGAGATGAAAATCAGAGTTTGCCTGTGTGATGTTAACGTTTGAGTTCAGATTTTAATTTGATGGCATGACATGGGGCATAAAAGTTGGTGTTCTTCTGGTAAATTGCCTGATGCCGGAACATGTGGTGGTGTAAAAGATTCAGTTTCTCATGGTAATGCATCATGATATTTTATGTTTTGTGTTGGCAGTTTTAATTTGTTTATTCTACTTTGAATGTAAAACATGTTCAGGTAGCAGTGGCAGTAGGACTGGTAAACGGAAAATTGGCTTGAGGTCACCACACACATCGACAAGGCAACCCAGTAAACGACAAGCAAAGCTCCCTTTCAAGAAACAGAAAGGGCCGGGTGATCTTGTTCAGAGAGCTGATGTTGATACGTCGAAATTAATGTACCGTTCAAACATATCCGGGCTGATTAGCACAGTTCTGGAACTCGAATTACGCGATGCCCACGTCAGACAGTTGCAGAGAACGCCTTTCTGGCTGATGATTGATGCTATTCGGGCTAACGAGCTGGATCCTAAAATGTTCAAAAAATGTGATGCGACGGTATGTCGGATAATACAAACTTACAACCCTGAAGATGAGAAATTCCACATCGGTGGAGCTAAGTTACCATTGCGCAACAACGACATCAGGTTGATCTTTGGGGTACAATGTGGGAGGGAGAAATTGGATATGACACAGGGTGGGAAAGGGCCGTCTGATTTCATGCAAAGACGCTGCGCAAATGTTACCCGAATTTCCTCAAAACTAATAAAGGACTTGCTGGGAGAAGCCATCTGTGGTCATACGGAGCGTGACGAAGAAGATGTGGCGAAATTGTTGTGTCTTTATGTGTGCGCCAAGTTATTTTTCGCAACAACCGGCGAGCATATAGGTTGGGCATTTGTCCGTGTGATTGACAAACTAGACACGTTGCAGCACTATAACTGGAGTGCAACAATAAGAAACACATTGATTGGGTCACTAAATGAGATGCACAATAAGCCAGAGAAGGTCACTGGTTGCGTAGTAGCATTGCTGGTACGTATGTTTTTTCCTTGTTTGGTGGTTCAAATTCAGCGGTAAAACATATAACCCATTTCAGTGTTAATTGAACGGATGTTTCATGGTCTAATTTCAGTTCCTTATTTGTGAGCATTCAAACATCGTCGCTCCGGAACGACCCGACGTGACACCACGTTTTTGTAGATGGAACATTGCAGCCGCTGTGGGGAAACTAAGAGTAATAAATTTGTCGTCAGAAGGTTGCTTTGAGGTATGCAATTAGAACCCTTTTAATTGTTTTGCAAATTTTTTCAATACCAAAACATTGAAATTGTGCTACGTTTTGCTGGTAACTTTCATTAGGTCCAGTGTGGCAAACTTGTTGGGACGATTAATGAATGTCATATTCTGAAGGTGCCTGCTGCTGCTATTGAACCAAAAGAATGTAGTAGAATTAGGGTGGATGTGGAACCGCCTGGAGTGTGCGATGAACGCAGGGCTGTGATTGAGACAGATGATGTTGGCAGCGTGGAGCCGAGCTTCAATTGTTGGCAGCCGGCCAAAAAAACAAAGGGTGACATGAAAATAGAGGGGGCCAATGACTATGACAATAAAAATACTGGAACACCGACCAGCAAGGAAAAAGTAGCTGGGAAGCTGGTGTCACGTGGAGAGGTTTGGCCGGTATTGTTCCCAGATCTTCTGGAACTGTCCAGCACTCTAGACGGTGAAGACGTGGGTGGGGAACAAAGAGGGGTGCGCGATGAGCTGATAACTTGTAAAGCAAGAATTACTGAATTAGAGAGTGAGATCAATATGAAAGATGTACAGATATGTGAACTGGAACAGCGTGTGGAAACACTGGAAAAACTGCTCGGGCGGCATGCTGGTAATTTGTTTGCAAACTTAAATACTGTGATTGTGGATAAGGATGCAGAAATTGCACGGCTCACCAAGCAGGTTGATCGATTGGACAAAAAAGTAAGCAATTTGGAAGATAGTCTTGATGACCTTGAGGTTCACGAGGTCACACAATTAGCTGTGAATGCTGGATCCAATCAGCGAACACCAAGTAATAGTCTGTCAGGCAAAGTGAGTGGGTCTGCCAATGTGACAAGTTGCGAAAGTGCGCAGCGGCCTGCATGTCGTAGAGGCCAACTCGAAGACGTGCGGATCAACGAATTACAACTTGTTGACAATGACCCTGGGATTGAAGATTTGACAGATGACTTTGCAGATGGGATTGTACGTACAACTGTGGCAAGGGGAGAGGGTAGCTGCAGCCCTATAAATGCAGAGACAGTAGCTGATGGCAATGTAAAGGATGGCGCAGCTGTCGTTGTTGTAGAAGGTCATAGTGAACACACAGCAGGTGCAGCAAGTTCAGGGCCGAAAATTACATCACTTGTCAAAAGGGTGAAGAACAAGGCAAGACGGGAATTTAGGTTATCAGACTACGAATATCCCGGCATATTTGGGCGTCCACAGGTAAACACCAATGTCAGACTTGGTAAATCAGTTGAACCCGGGGTGATTTACAGTGTTGAGGACGTCGAGGTGGAGCGTAAAACATGGAATGGATTCGGTCTGAATAGGCGGCACACTGTGTGGAACATGGTGAAGGATGAAGACAGGGAACTACTACAAAGGATGTACACTTTAGAGGGGGACGAGTACGTTGTTCGGATGAAATGTTCTATTGTTTAACATGTACAACTTGTAAAACTATGCTCTATGGTGGTTCTTAATTTTGGTGCACGGTGTGCAGGTTAATAGTGTGGGATGGTGGACATAATGGAATACAAGTCCATTTCACGGACATCAAAGATTTGGTGCAGCAGAACTCCATACACGGCAATGTAAGCTGGTTCCGTGTAACGAATCGTACAGTATTTAGTGATTCTTTAATTATTTTTAAAAAACATATGCAAATCTGACCGTTGCTTCCTTTGTGAATTGAGTGATGTGGCAGTCGGAAACGGCAAATGAATTTTAAAACACAGTGAAGAATATGTAAATGGAAATATAAATTTACAAAGTTGTTATTACTATTGTGGTGGAGTTGTAATGGGTGACATATGTTGCAGGTAATCGATGCATACGCTGCAATGTTGACTGAAATGCATAAGATGGTATCTGGAAGGGCAGAATATGTTGGGGCATCGTACATTTACACTAGTGTTTGTTCGGTATGTATCTTCAGTTTTATTTGACTGCCTGAAATCTAGAAAATATTTGCATAATTAAACCTGGTACGCCGATGGTGGTTTTGGACAATTGTGCAGGATATGATGCGAAACAGTAGTGCTGTTTCCCGAGCGAAGTATTTGAATGTTCACATGAAGGCTGCACGAGGTTGCAGATACACAGTAATCCCAATCTACAATGCCAACCATTGGACAGTCATGGCGTGCGATTCAGAAAGTGGGAATTAGAAACATTACAACTCGATGCGGCCAAGACGTGGAGTGCGCGATGAGCACTACAATGAGGCTCTAAAAGTGGTAAGTGCTGTTTACAAATTTCAGTTTACAATGTGCATTATGGGCAGATTGCAATGTGGAAAATGTTAATGTTACTGTGGACAAAACTGCACTGACATGTGAAAAATGGACAGAAACAATGGGTGGCTGATCACCACAACAAATTTGTGAAGCCTCGAGTTACACCTACAGCTGTTGGCGCACAGCTGTTTGATGGCAGTTTTGTATCTGTTGTGGATTGCCCACAACAAGTTCCAGAGTCGTAAGAAATGTTCATTTTATTTTGAGCGTACTGTTTTGATGATGTATCACGTCTGTGACATTGACACCGGTGTTTGTTAGTGCAGGTCGGATTGTGGGATTTTCGTGTGCTTCATAATCAGGCAGTACATTCGTGGTGCAGAAGTGAATACTTCGATGGATGGGCTGACCCCAACTGGGCTACGAGCTGCAATAGTGGAAATGTTCTTAAGTGACCCGGGCAGTGGACTCCGTGGGAGGACATTATAACAAGTTGAGAAGACATTTCCCAGTGCGCAAGTTGCAACAACAGCATTAGGATGTTTTATTCTGTTTTTCCCGTATCGGCGTATATAATGTTTTGTTAGTCTGGAAACACATAAAAGTAGGACGCAAAAACTAGTTTCATATACGTTACTTTTTTGGTAATGCAGAAGTGGCAAACGGTTTAATCTTGGGTTAGGATCCAGTATTTTGTGGATATGAATGTTGATATTATTTAGATGGTAATGCAATTTTATTATCAAGTGTGTACTGGGTTTCCCTGAATTTGGTTGGGGGGGGGATAGGGGGGTTGAGGGGAACATGGTTTACCTATTTGTTTGTTGGCGTATACTATCTTAACATGTGGGGGTGTGTGTAATTTTTTTTCTGGGTTTTTTACATCGAAGCAAAGTATAATGTTGTGCAAGAATCATGTCGGTGATGTAATCACAAATTTCAAATCGGGGCCCCTTTTTATTTTTTGTTTACGTTTTGCTGCCCAATGCGTAGTCGTAATCATGTTATGTAGCGTGTTTGATGTGAAAATCATATTGAAGTACATTGTGAACATCATATTGAAGTACATTGTGTTTGATGTTGTGAAAATCATATTGAAGTACATTTTAATCTTGGGTTAGGATCCAGTATTTTGTGGATATGAATGTTGATATTATTTAGTAAGCTATTCAAATTGTCTCACCTTTTGCATAATAACAGTTTCACAGTGCATTACACTTTTATGTCATGTGAAGTACATTGTTTTTAAATGGCAGATGGGCCTGGGTATGTGAACATGGTGTGATGTATGCAGGAGTTGGGCATGACGAGACTCAGTTTTGTAAACCTGTTTTCCACCACGGGAGTATGCGTGGTTTGATGTATATGGAAGTGGACATGCAACGACTGAGCACGTCAACCACATGGTAAGTATGACACGAGTAAAGATTAATTTCGCATTGCCATCTTAATCAGAATTGTGATGATACCATGTCGAGCGTAACATAAAATTACCTTCGTATTCAATTTATTTTAAGTCAGTTGGTAATGGGTACATGTTTTGTGCAATGACAATGGATTGTAAGCAGCCACAGAAACATTAAAAATCCATTGCCGTTCCGGATACAGGTTGGCAGAGTCCACTTTGGGCGAATGTTCTGGTATGATGTGAACAAATTTGTAAACTTAAACGGCACCAATTCCTTATTTCATGTATTCACAGTGTTAATGAAAGCGTCCTTTGAGAATTAAATGGTTGTGTTTCAAAGGAGCAGTGTTAGTGTTCAGTAGTGGGGACCCAAAACGTATGTCCTACTAAACAAATTAAACCAATAACATAAAGTGGATGACTGGTTTCCAAATCTATTATGATGTCCACAGATTTGAAACAAAAACCGGCACCCACTGACTCTTTTCGTGTGTACACAATGTCATTCAAAACAGATTTGAAAAATAACAACCACTGGCTACTTTCATGGCTGCACAGTGTTAAGCAGAACATATTTCACACTAAAATGGTTGGGTCTTAAAGGTGGAGTGTAATTGTTCAAACATGGGAAATGAAATGGTTGATGATTACGTTAAAATGTATATCCTACAAAACAAATTAAACCAATAACAGAAAGTGAATGACTGATGTAAAAAAAAAAGGAAATTTAAAAAAAAAAACAAAATAACCCAGTTTGTTAACAACCAAATTAAATCATATGGCAGCCCAACTGTAATGGCTCTTTGCATGTCTTCCTATTGTGATTGCCCACTTTTCCGCAACGACCACAACGTATACGTTGCACTACCTCCCCCTTGGACGGAATTCTCTTCCGTTTTGGCCGACCGGGGGGACGCTTGGCCGTCGGCGGAGCTATCAAACATTCAGGTGGGTTAAACAGTGGCCTCCCCACTGTTGGGATGGGGTATATGGTTCCGCTATAAGTAGCTCGAAATGTATCAATACAAAATGCGGAGTCTATGGCATCGTAGATGTTTCTTCCACTATTACGGAATGCAACCACAGCATGGGAACATGGGAACCCGTTGATCTGCCACTGAAAACAAGAACATGTCAGCTTGCCGACATCAACCAACACCGATGGGTGGGAGTGGACCTCATAGACATCATCATTAGCCTGGCTAACACACCAAGCCCTGCTGTCGTTATACGCTGCCACCAATTTTTTCTCCATTTTCGGAGCTATAACACCGTCCCATTTACTGCATTTAACTCTGCGCTCCGACATCTGCTCCATTATTTGACCCCTTATCATATCGACCAATCTCGTGACGGGGAGATGACGAGCCTCACCAACCCAATTGTTGAAAGATTCCGCAGCATTTGAGCACATATCCCCATACCGTTGGCCCCTTTTTTAGAAAAAAGAAACCCATTTACAAAGCGTAAATTAAAAAGACCAAAACAAAATATACTGAAAAAAAACAAGTGGGAATTTTTAAATATGCCATAACCCGTTGTGCAGGCCATGAATTACCTGAAATACGCATTAGACCAGTGTTTGGGGTGCAGGTCTTTCATAAAATCTTCAATCACAGCTGGGTTGGCCTTCTTCAATTCCTCCAATTTCTCATTGAAACAAGCAACAGTGGGCGCATATGCACATTCCCGTAACTTTCGCATCAACCCAATTTTGTGCGATGCATTAACATATTTCATTCGATCCCGCAAGTTCATTTGCAGATGCAACAAACAATATGCATGATGGGCTGAAGGGAAAATAATGGGCATAGAGTGTAATAATCCGACATGGCGGTCAGATATGAAAGTCAATGTTCGCCCACCCCCAACAACTTCTTTCAAATTATGAAGGAACCATTCCCAATTAGCTGAATTCTCGGAATCAACAATAGCAAAGGCTACCGGAAACAATCCTAAGACCAAACATGCAACATAAAAAGTTAGGCATGACAAAACTTATACAACCATCCACGAATAAAAAAGTGCGACACATTTTAAAAAATTTTAAAACGAATAAGCCTGCCACTGTGTGTTACATTCCTATTCAGTTTTATTTGAGGAGACCCTATTTCAATGTTCTCAATTTTTTTTTCCGTTGTTGAATGGGAAAGAAACATTTGAAATGTATAAAAATTTGAAGTATCTATTTACTAGTATGTTCAGCAAATAAGCAGTAATAGGTAAAGTAACACACCATTACCTTGATTGGCGTCTTTAGCAGTAGCTGCGAGCAAATTCCCTTTAAATCTACCTTTCAAAAACGTTCCATCCAAAAAAAGCATAGGCCGGCAGTGTTTGAACCCATCTATACAAGCGCGAAATGATATGAAATACCTAACAAAGCTCCCGGTTTTTGGGTCAAACTCAAGATTAATGTAACTATTTGGGTTTTTTTGCATAACAGAATTGCTATACCACCTCAGCTGATCAAAGGACGTAGCGTGATCCCCGTACACCTCGCCCCTAGCTTTCTCAACACCCAACCATGCCACCCGGTAGCTAATATCCAAACCATAATCGTTCTTCAAATCAAACACGACATCAGTGGGGCGCGTCAATGGCTTATCACGCAGTCGATCTGCAACAACTGTAGACACCAAATCAGACCCCGTACGAGGGTTCCTAGAAGTACGTACAGCAGCCCCACAAGTATGCACACTATCAAACCTCTTAACACATAACACCCCACTTGACGGTAACATCCTCGCATGAACTGACCACGGACAATCTGTTGAAGCCGCAAACTTACACACTACCGTAATTCGCACGGAGTCATTTTTAACATACTTAAATTGAAATCCACGTTCAACAGCATACTTACACAGAACTTCGCGGAATTCAGTTGCTCCACCATCAAAACATTGTCCCACATGGGTAATACCATGCGCCCATTGCGCCGACAGAAACGTCTTCGATTTGTTCGGACAGTACATTGGTAACAAATCCATCTGGTCATCCACGAACTCATTCCCGCTAACATGCCGTGACATTCCCCCATCGTCCGCGAAATCCAACACGACACGATTACCACCCACACCAACACTACTTTCCTGAATGACGACCTCAATGTGATTTATCCCGAACGACTTAGCAAGGCACAACATGTTTTGAATGTCGTCGTCGCTATCCACCTTAAACTTCTTATATCCGGGAAAATCAAAAAACAAACACACCGCACCTGGTACCAATCCATCGAACTTCCCACAAATTTCATCAACAATCTTCACATACGACGAATCGTGATTCAACCGAATAAGAACATTAACTAAACCATACGAACAAACCAGCAAAATTCCCCCATCCATACCTGCACACATTTTGAAGAACCCATTACGGCTGCAACATACCCATGAAACAACCATAACAGAACAGTATGTGTGCGTTTGTTTGATTAAACACAGCATTGCAGGAAAATATAAAAAAAACACCAACGACCCATCCCTCCATTGATAAAACCAGCGCACCCATCCCATAGACAGATCAGAGGAAACTTAAAAAATTCTGGAAAAAAAACACACCTTCACCCAGGGGCTTGAACACAGCAATGCCACCGCAGGAAGCCACCAACTTGAAATGTCCAATTACAGTGCGAAGAACAACAATGGTCTCTGGGGAAGATGATGCCGACCAACGGAAACAAAGCTCTCACCGTATTCTGCCTCCATCAAAAACAATGGTGGAATCAATGTAAATGACGGAAAAACAATGGTAATGAAACCGAAATGGTGGACAACAACAATAAAGAATCAGAAACAATGTCAATCAAAATACATAATAATGAAAGAACCAGTTACAGAGTCAGAACGAAAATAACCGTCTATGAGAAATCGCAAAAATGGTGAAAAAAAAATTAACCAAAAAAAATCATCCCCACTAAAACATGTTGATTGCAGAAAATCAGTTGTAATGCATCATAAATGCTACAGAAAAAATGATGGTCTCTGGGGAAGATGATGCCGACCAACGGAAAGAGACCTCTCACGGTATTCTGCCTCCATGAAAGCAATGGTGGAATCAATGTAAATGAAGGAAAACAATGGTAATGAAACCGAAATGGTGAACGACAACAATAAACACGTTGATTGCAGAAAATCAGTTGTAATGCATCGTAAATGCTAGAGAAAAAATGGTGCTCACCGATTTGGGTGTCCCAGAAACATCCCCACAATAAGTTGAACATTACGAAACTCAATTGAATTCACCAACAACTGTTCAAGGAAATATTCAGGTAAAGGGTATTGATGTAAAAACGCAATGGATTAAATCAAACCCCCCAAAATCAGGATATCAAATAGGACTAAATGGAGTATAGGAAAACATTTAGGACTAAATGGTTCAACATTTCAGGAAATAGGATTTATGGGTAAATTTTCCTATTTTTTAATCTCTAATGAAATATTAAAGTAAACATAAATAAAATATTTAAGACGTGAAATTTATTACAAATTAATAATTATATATATGAAAAATATTTTGTAAAATTAATGCTTTATATATATGAAACATGTTATACAAATATTTGATAATTATTGAAGAATATTTTTAATCAACTAGCAAATTGAAATTGTCTGAAATCGTGATTTGATTATTTGTCAATTTACTATTTATGATTTGATTTATAATTTTACTCTCAAACTATTCGAACTGTACCATGCACGCCCCTACTTGAGTATAGAGTCTATATATTGTGAATCTTTGTGCGGGGAGCAAATATTCAGGCAAGCCCACACTCTTTTCTTCCAAGTTCCTGCCTGTTCGATCGACCTGCGAACACAACGGCGGTGAGCTACCCGGCGGTGTGTGGCCGGAAAACCCCTCCGACGATCAAGTTTGACACACACACAGGGATAGAGAGAGAGAGGACTGAGTTGTGTTTAGTGTTTATCTCACCAAAAAATGTGTCATCCTTAGTATGGGGGGCGCAGACTCGCTTATATACCTTCTGTGCCCCAAATCTACTCCCATTAGTCTCTCGACACGTGGTGCTGCTATCCCATCTGTTAGCACAGATCTTGCTGAACATCACCTAATCCCAACTGCCAGCCCACTCTACTGGGAGCTCGGCAACCGGATTGCAGTATCTCGGCTGCCAACGGCCATGCTGCACTTTAAGCCCAAGCGTTCCAATAACCAAGCTCATCAAGGACCGAGCTCGGCTGCATCCCGGTATAGCCGAGCTCGGGACAGCTCATACTAGTTTGCCACCGGCCTTCCTGCCGAGCTAAATTATGCATCGTGGAACCTCCACACCTTGCCTGGCGCCGGTCATCTCACTCGACCGGCTTCTATACCATGAAGCCAAACAGCTCGGCCGACCACGCCTTGCCTTAACCGAGCAAAACCCTTCAGGATAGGCCCGTTTCACCGCGGCTCAAACTTGTTCGTCCCAAATTTGCCCGGCCATTACCACGGCCCAAACCAAACCATAAATCTCCCTCTTAATTGCCCCTTAATTCCGTCCGCCAAAGTGTGACTGAGCTTACCTGTTATGACCGGGGTAAACACTCATCGATTCTCAGTTTTGCAAGAAGTCGACCGGGCTAATTTCTGCGCTCGGTTCCTTGTCTTGCTCGGTCGACGCCTCGTCTGACCTTCCTGTGTCTTGACTTGCTCGGTCGACGCCTTGTCTGACCTTCCTATCTCTTCAACTCTGACGCTGCCATCAATGGGGACACGTGTCATGTGCTGATTGGCCTTGAGCCGCCAACTGTCACGTCCCTTCAATTCAAATTTTTGGCAGTCTTCCTCCCCTATATACGTCATTTCCTTCTTCATTTCGTCTTTATTGATTTTTCTTCATTCTTGCTGATCCAGAGCTTCTGCCCTTCCTTTCTTGCCATTACTGAGTTCGTGTTCGAGGAAGTAGCCACTGCTTTTAATTGGTAAGTTCGTCAACCCCTTTTGTTGTTATTTCACTTGGTATTTCGCATAATAGGGCACTAAATCCGTAGGTTTTAGGACATAGGCACCCAAAACTGTCCCTAACCCTTCACTCTCCTTGTTGTTCTTCATTTTCTCTGATGAACACTGAAGATCTGGGGCGGGCCGGGCTCCAGGTCTTCCTTTGATCCAAAAAATCATCCAGACCGAGCAAATAAGAAGTTTGTCCCAACCTTAGTAGAAACCGGGGTAACCAAATGACTTGGTCGTTCAACCGGGCTAAAATCTAGTCCGCTTGAGCGACCGGGCTCCTTGGTTAGCCTTAACGACCGAGGTGGTTTGGCACTCTTCATGACCAAGCTAAAGTCAAGCTCGTTTTGCGCGACTGCGCTCCCTCTTACACTTGCCATCCTTTTCCTGCAGAGTCCGATGAGACCACAGACCATTACCGAGGCTCTCAAAGACCGAGCAGCCATCAAGACACCAGTCTACCAAACCACCTCAGCCGAGCTAATCCAGTCGGCTACACATGGGGCGTTTCCGCTTCCTTGTTGACACTCCGGCTGCCTTGGCTGTGTTCCGGGAAGACTACGGTATCCCGACAGACGTTCACCTAGAGCTCGCCGAAATTGAGACAACCCCTTGGGGCAGATTAGACCAGTGCCCCTTCACCGTTCTTTCCATCATTGAAGGAGGCCTCCGCTTCCCGATCAACCCTCTGCTGACCGAATTCCTGCGCCGTACCGGGCTAGCACCCACACAAGTATCAACCAACACCTACTGAATAATCAATGGTATCCATGAGCTAAATAACCGGCTAGGGACCAACTTAGGTTTAGCCGAGATACTGAGACAATACACCCTTGGGCACACCGGCGATGGCCTCGCCTATTACTTAAAGATTAGGCCAGGCAAAGAAAAAATAGTGACTGGCTGTAGACACGCCCGTTGGCCTCACTACAGTTCGGACTCTATTTGTGTCACGGTTCTTAATCTGAACCAAAGAGTCCAAATCCGGCAAATCGTTTTAGAAAACAAGTTTTTTTTTTTTTAGAAAAGAAGTGCCAAACATGGACTGCTTTGCCAGATACAAAGTCGCCACCTAAATATTTTTTAAGGGGGAATTTAGGAAACCCTGACTCGGTGCCAAAGGCCACGTGTCCGTCATCACCAAAGTTGCCTCGGCTCGGGAGCTAGGGTACGATTGGGGAAGGTCAGCTATGAGCACCCCCTCTCGCCCGATCCGAAGATCGGCCTCTACTAACCGTGATACCCGTTTTTGAAAACGTTATGTGTTCTTATTCCATTTATTAGCCTAGAATTACTATGTTATGCGCGCAGCAAACAAATATAGATCAAATCGCCTAAATTGGAACAAAACATTGCATGTTCGTTTTGAAGATGGTTTGCTACTCGCAAGTAGGCTAAAATGCAGGTTTTGCCACCCTCGAGTGGGTTTTTAGAAAAGTTGGTTTTGCCACTATCTAGTGGGCTTAAAAACTCATAGTTTTAATGCATTATCCTAATTCAAGCAATTCGACTTTCATCCACAGGCATTCAAGCAGTTATATCACATAAGCAGCTAGCTTCATGGTAATCATGCAATTATGGCAACACTCACACGCATGCGGTATGCTAAAGCAAAAGGACTTACAGAGTACTCCAAGCCAAAATAGAAACTAGTTAGTAATCATATGCATGATCCTAGTTCATGTTAAGATGGCTAATGTAACACATGCAGGATGCAGCTAGAATAGGCTCGGCTATCTTGAACATAGCATGTGAAATGCAACAGATAACACGTATTCAATTTGGAATTGAAATACAAATGCAGTTAGAATGATGCGCCGAGCCCGGTGCATGCAAAACGAATGAATGGATGCAAACATGCTATCATACTGTATGCTAATTGAAACATGCCCTAGACTAACCATTGAAAGCTAGTAAATAAAAGGGAAGAAAGACGTGGGGTTGGAAGACATACACACACTCACGCACACTTATTACACAATTGCCCTCGCTCGGAGGGTTCAAATAAATATTACAGTCCGAATAAATAATACTAAATTAATTATTACAAAACTTCTAATTTAATTAATAAATTAAATGCAAATGGAAGGTGGCCACAGCCCCCGCCTCGGGATGCGCGAATGATGCGTGCTCGATTTGGACTGCCGGGAAATTCGCTGCCATAGCATTGCTGCCTCTGTTTACACTGCCTAGCTCCCCTGAAAACTATACAAGTCTCAGGATAGTTCCTTTTCACACTTTGGAACACCACCGGCTAGGAGGGATGACCACCGGCCGTATTAAATGCTCATCGGCCTTTGATAAAGCTATCGGCCACCAAAGGATGGCCGGTCGGCACTGTATGTGGCCGGCAGGCTAAAACTTCCCGCAGAACCTGCAGTTGACAGCAGTAGAGGGCAGGCAGTGTATGGCATGGAATTTCAAGTAAGTGTAAGCATGGTCACACTCCTTATCATGCAACAGGCTCAAGGAAGTATGACCCTCGATCCTCGGGCCATCAATTAGGCATGATGGCCTAAGAAGTCAAGCTTGTCATTCAATGAAAATGCATGCAACACACAAATGAATACCAAGACCCCATCATGTTAGAGTCAAGGGCCTCGGCGACCGAGGGCTGAGAAATGTTGCATCACTTGAAGTATGAACACTTCTCACCCCTTAAGTTTGGCTTGACACCCCAAGCTAAACAATGCAATGCAAGTATACAAACATGGCTCAAGTTATGCAACATAAGGCTAAGATGCA